GGAGAACATATCGCACATGAGGGGTCAGAGTACAGCTCCTGCAGTCATGTGCTCTGCTCTAGGAGCCTGCAGCCTCCAGGGATTGGGTGACTTTGTTGTTTGCTTCATCTTGCTGTCTTCCTCATCTTCTAGTCTGGAAAAGCTCTTCCCTCCCTCCTAAGCAATACCTCTGAAGCATTTGTGCGATACCTCCCTTCTCCCCAAATCAAACAGCACATCTTGCAGACACATGCAGAAGCCCACGCTGTACAGCCCACCTGCAAGGGCAGGGAAACACTTGGGCAGCTGGCCTGACCTGAGTGCTGCACTGCTCAGGTGTACGACCATGAATCCCTGAGCATGAATCCCTGTGCAGCAATTTAAAACCAGCCCAGCTGTGAGTTCGGGCAGAGACAGCTACACCTCAAGAAGTGGACACACAGCCTGAACCACCAACCCCTCGTGCCCAAAAAAACAGAAAAAAGCCCCAGCAGGATTAAAACTCTGAGTATTTTGGCGGAATTAATCTAAAGCAGTTTCTAAATCAATATATTCGCAAGCAGAAGGTGACGTTGAGAGATGTCCAACTTACTCGGTTCACTGGAGTGGAGAGGTGAGGAGTTGTGGATAGAGGAGCCCTGAGTAGCGACTGCTTTTATACTATTTCCCAGCTGGCCCGGAGGATGGGAGATGCCCTGGATGGGAGAGGTCCTGATTAGTAACAGGATGGAACTGATTGCACATCACACTGAAATACATGCAGATGCTTTTTTTACTCATTGCCTGTGTGTTGCCTGATAATTGCAGTTTCACTCTACACCCAAAGTTTCTCCCTCAGAGAATTTGGGCTCAATTCATTTTCTTTTTGACCTGACTGGAAGACACACAAAACATTTAATGCAACTTTCATGTGTTTTCATGCTCAAAATTGCATGTCTCCATATGAGGATCTCTGTGTATGTGTATTTTTTTGTGCTTTAAAGTCATGCCGGCATCTGTTTGGGACATTGGAAAAATGTTTAATACCACCAAAGATGGTGTTAAGTCTTTAATCTGCTGGATTTAGACACTTCAGCTCTTCAGGATCTGTCTGGTACACGACCTACTGAAATGCACGGGCTAGCTTCCAGTGAACTTAATGAGTTCTGGTTCATTGTTAAGGAGCCAAGTTCACTACAGAATGGAAGGTCATCATCACACCTACGGGTAAATCCAACTAAATCCTTTACACTCTATTCCCACCATGACAGAGCTATCAGGCTGTTGATGACCATCTTGGCAACTTACACTTACGGCAAAGAGTTAGCACGTGGTCTCTGGGGAGGTGCTTCCTTTGTATTTATTGAACAAACATCTGTTCTTTTCTTCCCTTCATTCATAGATTATATATTGTACTGCTGTGGTTCCACAGTAAATACCTTACCCACAATGTAAAGTACCTTGGTGCAGGTTGTGGTAGGCCAGTAGGGGGTGCTCCTGCATTGAGCCACCCACCTTACTGCACCCAACCACCTTCCAAGCTCTGAGTGACTTCCTGGGGGCGCCTCACATCTGACTGACCCCCTTCCTGTAGCACACCCGCTAGCCTGGGGTTTCTACTGCCACCACCCAGAGCTCTGGACTTCATTCTGGGTCTGCACACTCTGGGAAACACAGGCCTAGTAGCCCTCAAGTGTACTTGATTCATTTCAAGAAGCTGGGATGCTTCCCTCTGTCAGAAGCACAAGTAGTGGTCTCCCTTAATCAGCCGAACCAAGGGGACCCCAAAGCATAATCTAGACTCACTTCCAAAAAGTCTCCCACACTAGGTACAAAGGAGAACTTTATTGGTTACAGAGGGTAGGGTTAGAATAGGGTACAGGAATATCAGAGAAATCCCATCGAGCAAAGTCCTGTGGCTGGGGTAGCCTTTGATCTCGCATCTGAGTTACTGCAAGCTATATATCTAGTTGGATCTCAGTTAGCTGACTCACAAGTATCATCCAGAGGCAGCTGGAGATTCTCTCTGGAGGCAGGCAGTTCCTTATTCATGAGCTTTGAGAGAGAGCAAGTTTCAGATGGTACATCTCCTCTTTGTCTCTGAGTCTCCCTCATGGCTGCTCCCCCTCTTCCTGGGCAGTCCTTAACTTATACAGCCTTTGTGACCTCATTTACCTGGTCCAATGGAGGTCAGCACCTGTTGGCTGTCAGCCAACCAATTTGAAATACATCACTAGTTGCCAGGCAGACTCTAGCCCACCGGGAAGGAAGCCCCTCACCCACCTATGTGATACTACTCATGTAGGCAGAGGGAGCAGGTTTCCCCCCTCCCTCAGGAATGTATCCAGCTCAGGTTACCTAAAGAGATAGGGTAAAGGTATGTATCCTCTGCTGAGCCCATCCTAAACAAATTGTCACACAGCAGAGTTTTTTTGGGGAAGAAACAAAGGTGGCCTTCTGCCACACAGGTCATTTGGGTAGTGTTTGTTGGTCCTGCATAGAGGTGAAGGAAATATAAAAGAGTTTTTTTTTTTCCATTCCTGTGTGACTCTTGCATAAAGCCCTTGACTAGGAAGCAGCAAAAGGTGTCCCAATTTTAGGTGACGTTACTTACATGTATTTGTGGGGTCTTGGTAATGAAGTAATTAATTCGGTATTTGGGAATTGGAGTTTATCTGATTTATTTTGTTTTCTTTTCCTTCACTTGAAAATGACAGATCTCTTGACCTCTGTCACCCTCTCACTCTGCCCCATGTCCTGAAGTAGTTATAGCATAAACCTTCCTTCAGTCCTACTAAAAGAAAGGAAGACCATAGATGGGGTGATAACGTTTTAAGAGTCCAGCCTCTCCTGAGGGTGTGACCAGTGTGTCATCATGTCATGAAGCTAAGAATATAATAGTGATGAGGAACACTTGAAAGGGCAACACAATTTGGTTGTAAGGACTCATGCATAAATGTTTTTTTCTTCTCTTCCGTCTTGCACCACAGTTTGTGATAACTGTTAATGTCTGGTGGGGTAGTTTCCAAAAAAAAAAAGTTTTCCTAGTTGTGGTGATTGGTGGGTGTGTACTTCTCAATCATTAGTCCACGATGTTGGCACCTACAGAAGGGATTGGTAATCAAACACATCGATTCCTTAGGTCGTTTTCAGCCTAATATTGCTTCGCATTGCAAACATTGCTTACTTTGCAACTTTCAAACAGAAATGTAGAGAGAACACAGACAAGGCCCTTAGCAGGCTTTTTTGCAGCCGTGTGTATTTAAACCAGTTAGGGATCTTAACATAATACTTCCTGCAACTCCAGAAATGAGCTTTTACCTGTAGTGATGAAGAGGTAGCTATAGCAGTTTTTTAATTTAGTTTATACATATGTCTGAAGCACCCAATTGGCTCTGGCTTGCAGGAGGAGAGTTTCTATTTAGTGCTTCTATGCTCTAAGGTGCGATAAGAAGAAAACTTAAAATTAAAGGTCCCTTATGCAAACCTTCAGCACTTCTGGGTTTTTATACCTTCTTTCAAAGTGCCTGATGCTGGAGCTCTTCAAAGACGTATGTGATGGGTTCATTTGATGCTATAAGAAGTTGTTGCCTTTCAAATGGGAGGAAGTATTTTGCTCCAGAGTTAACTGGGGGAGAGAGAGAGAGCTCCTTCCTGAGATATCTGAGGTGAGGAAGGAGTTGGATGAGGTTCTTCCACACAGCTTATGCCGAGGGAGCCCCAAAAGCCATGGGACTAGGGCACACTGAGCCCCCCTGGCACCAGGGGCAGAGGGTGGTAGGTGTCAGGCCATGGTGTTGGCTTGGGGGTGTCAAGGGTCACAATCAAGACATTCCCAGGCACCAAATAAACACTGTGCCCGGTGTGAAAGAGGCTATAGGAGGAAGAATGCTACAGAGAGGCTGATAACCCATGGGCAGGTAGGAAGCAGGTCTGGGAAGTGAGGTGAGGACATGAAGCTCAATCCTTAACTGTGTAATGCATCATACTGGGCTTCAGCTACAGGAACAGCAGAGTCAGGCTTCACTGTGTCCCCTGCCTGGGCAGGAAAGGATGAGACAGCACTGCAAGTAAGGGTCCAATAAACCCCATCCTGTAGCCAAGGCCTGGGAATGCATCCTAGGGGTAGGAGTGAATTTTCTGCCACCCCTTGGGTGGGATGAGCCCCTGACTGCCAACGTACGGCTACTCTTGCTCTGGGATGAAGCCTTGGAGGGGTCCTTTCACCCCATACAGGAATGTAATGTGGCCAAGGCTTCTCCCTCCCTCTCCCATAAGTCAGGCAGGAACGTCCCTTATTCAGTCTTTCCTGCCTGGGTAATAGGTTGTCCCTCTAGGAGGCCTTAGAGAAAAATTTTAAATGATGCTCCAGAGCTCTGAACTGCCTAGTCCCTACGTGTCCACCTCCCCTGTTTACACGTCTTCTCCGACAGCTCTAAGACCTTCTTCAGATCCAGGCACCATGAAAGTGTTGCCTTGCACTGCAGCGATGCCTTCTCTTTTTACTGCTTTCTCCATGGGAACGTCTCAACACAACCATGCAATGAAGGAAGCTCTTAACTCTGCTGTAGGAGTGGTGATATGTAGTGGGTAGGAACTAATTCACTCTGCCAATCATCTGATGAGTCAGGGGAAGGGTACAGAGAAGAGCCCAGGGGCTCTTCATTGTCATTCCCACATCTCGTAGCCACACAGAAGATCGTAGTTTTGTTTTCCTGGGCTCTTTGGATTGCATGTGCCCAAGCAGGAGACACAGGCAAAGTTTGTCCTGCGGAGCCATCTGGGGCCACCCGTCAGCTGTGTATCTGGTGGGCTCATGACTAGGGGCAGGAAAGGCCCCAGAGCTGTTCACTGCCATGTTTCTAGTTCAGGTGAGTAGACAGGGCTTGAACCAATTTCGCGTAGAGGGGGAGTATCACCTCTCTAGACCGGCTTGAGATGCATCTTTGGATGCACAACAAAGTGTGGTTGACTTTGCTGGCTGCAGTCTGGCATTGGTGGCTTATGCTCATCTTGAAGTCAATAATGACTCCAAGATCCCTTTCCGCCTCTGTGCTCACAAGGGGGGAGCTCCCCAGCTTGTATGTATGCTGTGGATTCCTTCTCCCCAGGTTCAGCACCCTGCATTTGTCTACATTGAACGACATCATATTAGCATCTGACCACCACTGTAGTCTGTCTAAGTCTAATTGTAGCCTCTCTCTCCCTTCAAGCGTGCCTACCTCTCCCCACAACTTGGTGTCACAGGCAAACTTGGACAAAGTGTTTTCCACCCCCGCGTCCTAGTGATGAAGATGTTGAACAGTGTAGGCCCCAGGACCGAGCCCTGGGGGACCCCACTCTTCACATCCCGCCAGGTCGAGCACGACCCATCCACCACCACTATCTGGGTGCACCCCATCAGCCACTTTTTGACCCATCCAACTGTGCAGGCATCAATGCCTCAGTCGCTCTGCTTATTAATGAGAACGGGGTTTGTGTCAGTGTCAAAGGCCTCCTTAAAGTCCAGAAGGACTACATCCACGGCGACACCATCATCCAGGGATTTAGTTACCTGGTCATAAAAGGCAATCAGGTTGCTCTGGCAGGACCTGCCTTTGCTGAACCCATGTTGATTTCCTCTGCTTTCTCCATGGGAACTTTAGCAGCTCAAAAAAAGAAAGCCCAAATTAGTAAACACA